AAATTTTCAAGAGACTTTAAAATTGTCTTGTTCCCAGGTTTTTTTCTTAGTCTTCATGAGTAACATTCCCTACTACCTACATGAAAATTATTTTCAAATAAATCATTATGACAATCTTCAATTTGACTTTGGAATCTGCCGATGTGTGATTTGAAATCAAGAGGCTGAGAGAATTGAAAAGCCTTAATAAAAGCTTTTCCAAGATCCTTATAGAGGCTGCATTTCATTTCTCTTCTTGGATAGTTTAATAAAACTAAGACTTAACTGGACAGGAGCCAGTGAGCTGAAGGAATATGAGCTTTCACTTAAAAAGTAATAATAATGAAAACAACGCAAGTTTGGGATGTCCTATGACCTCCAGCCCATCATTTGTGTACATTTGGTGCCATGTGGGGAAGGTAGTCAAAAAATAAGCAAAACTTGATTAGAGAATATCAGAGTAAAGGATTTAAGTAAAAACGTATAAGAAAATATTTTTCTTCTGCTAAAGCGATACAGTCACTTATCTAACATACACACAAGTAAAACAGATGTTCATAGAAATTAAAGATTGTAAATTTTCTTTCTTTTCTTTTATTCCATTCTTCCTTTCCTTCCCTTTCCCTTACCCTCCCTCCCTCTTTCTCCCTCCCTCCCTCTTTTTCTCTTTCTTTCTTTTCTTTCAGTTTTTATTGGGGAACAATGTGTTTTTTCCAGGACCCATCAGCTCTAAGTCAAGCTGTTGTCCTTCAATCTAGTTGTGGAGGGCGCAGCTCAGCTCCAAGTCCAGTTGCCATTTTCAATCTAGTTGCGGGGGGCACAGCCCACCATCCCATGCAGGAATCTAACTGGCAACCTTGTTGTTAAGAGCACCCGCTCTAACCAACTGAGCCATCCGGCCACCCTCTGGTAGCTCAGTGGCAGCTCAGCTCAAGTCGTTGTCTTCAATCTAGTTGAGGAGGGCATAGCTCACTGGCCCATGTGGGAGTCGAACTGGCAACTTTGTTGTTCAGAGCACGCGCTCTAATTAATTGAGCCACCTCACCGCCCAAAATTTTCTCTCTTTTCTGAAATAATTCTTCAAACATTTTCTAATACATTATTGTCAGTCTTTAAAATCTGCCTTTTACACATTGCAGTATTAAGTATGTTATTGAAGGAGTTTGAGAAAATAACAGAAGCAGGAAGGTCACTTTGACTTTCCCTCCCACTTCTCCCCTAAAACAGGTAGTAAACCCTCATGTGAGAGGTGCCCTGCCTGTACCTGAAGAAAAGGAGCATCCTTATCTCCAAAGGCAAAGAGATGCCAAGAAAAATCGAAACAAACAATGCTTTCTCAGTTTCCCCCAGTTTACTACACTTACGTTATACTGTACGACCTTTCACCTTTCTACATGACTGTTCACACTTCATCACACCTAGCCTAAAAATACACAGGTTTAACTGTTTCTCTGGGTCTTTATTTTCTTATGAAGATGCTTATGTCACATAAAATTTATATTAAATACATTTGTATGTTGTTTTCCTGCTAAAAAAATAAAATAATAAAAAAAATAAAAACTGCCTTTTATACATGTTAAAAATGACTCTAAAGAGTCTAAAGGCCTCTTGTCCCTTTACAAAAATGTCACACTTCCAACCTTAAAAGTTTGTGAAGAATTTTTTTTAAATACCAAGGCATTTCCATAGTTCCTAAAAGATTTACCATTAAGTCACAAGTTCTCCAAATTAAAAGACCAGGGAGTCGAGAGTGCATCAGTTAGAACACAAGGAATAATGAAGACACTCCTAATGCCTCCTCAAATCAAGCCTTACCTTCTCCCTCTACTAGCAAAACCAAGCAGACACTAAATCAAATCTTCCTCCTCTTTCCACCACTTCAACAGCAGCTGTCTTCCAATATAGTAGAATAAGCCTGATCTAGACACCCAATTCCCAGTCGACATCTATAGTCTTGACTTTTTTCCTGAAAACACATCTCAAGGTTCCACCTGCATGATGGACATCACTATACAGTTGTCCCAACACACCTTCAAAGGCCTCATGACCCAAACAAACACAGCTCAGCTCCAACCCCAGTGTTGCTCCTTGCTCCATGCTCCTGGGCTTTATTAATACATCACCATCCTCTCAACCACAGAGTGAGCTGCCAGGCAGTCAGTTCAGATTCAAATGGAGCAAATTACCTCTCTAAGCCTGTTTCCTTTTCTGTAAAAGCTAACGATGGTTGTTAGGGTATTAAATAAGATAGCAATAAAGCAGGCACTTGATCATTAGATATTCCCCTTCCTCTCTATATTTAATTGCTGGTCAAGACCTATTAATTTTGCCAACCAAATATCTCTAAAATCTTCCCCCTATTTTTTATTCCTACCATCACTGTCCTGATTTGGACACTCAGCATTTCTAACCTGAACAATTGCAAAACTCTTGGACTAGTCACCTTGCTTCCTTTCCTCTCTAACCTGCTTGCCTATAAGCTCAAAGAGATAGGAGTATAACGGGCCTTATTCCTTTTGTCCATTTTCCCAAAACCCAGCACAGTGCTTGGCACAGAAAAGGCATTCAAAATCACTTCTTAGCAGAGCTGACTGGCTCTAAATTTATCATCCAGACACAATGAAGACATGCCCTAAGACAAACCTCAATCTCATGAGCATTGAAGGAAGTCCTTTACATACTGACTCATCACAGTCTTATTCACAGAGACCAGGGGTCCCAAAATTCCTGTTTCTCCCCTTAGGACCCATCGTGGTATATCAATATGGAAGCACTGGGCCCAGTTAAGTAGTTAGTAAGCAAAAATTGTATTCAACATAGACAGAAAATCATAAGATGTGTTAAATAACTATAAGTAGGTAGTAAGTAGAGCATGTGTATGTTAAACATAGAAAGAAAGGGATGGCAGAACCAAGAGATAACCAATTTTCAGTATGTATTAAATATACATAAGGCACCTGGGCTCTAAATATTCATGATACACTAATCTACAAGAGGTAGTAAATATTCATGAGTACTCAATATTTATGAGGCTTTAATTCGGCCACTCATTCATTGGTGACACCCATTCTGGCCCCATGTGCCCTTTGCGTAAAAAAACACAGGCAAAACCCATGACTATTCAGCAGACTTATTGGTACAGCTACTTATGAGCTACAGCTGTGGCCAGGCCCACTTGTCCCTGCATCTCTCTGATAGAGGGTGTGCCATTAGCCCAAGGTCCCTTCTGCCTGCGGTCCTCCTTGAACTTCAACTCTGGTCTCCAAACCACACTATTAGCGGGAAGGGCTGATGCAGCATAGAGGCAGGACCACTGCCTACCCCAGGATTCAGGCAGGGTGGTCCTTCCATCCACTTTTACCCTATCCTAGGTGTGTGAACCTATCCCATCTCTTTCCCCTTGCTTCTTGCTATATATATTAAATTGTTTCAATGCATTCTGTGATTCATGCATTTTAATTTGGCTGATGAGCCTTCTGTTCTGTGGTCTTTAGGAAAGCCTGCATGTGTGCTTCTTGGAGGCCACCTCTGCACCAAGGTAATATCCCACACAACACTCTAGCTGTACATAGAAAACAGATTGTAGGAGGAGCAGAAATGGAAGTAGAGAGGCATATTAGGCAGCTATTCCATTCCTCTCGTCAAGAGATGAAAGTAGCTTAGGTTAGGATGGTAGAAAGGGGAGAGAGAGAGAGAGAGAGACATGGACAGATTCAGGATATGTATTGCTAGAAGAATGAAGAACAAGGATGGTGGGTGCGAACAAATAGAGAAAGTAAAATGAATAGAGACAATAATCAAAAGGCCAGCTTCAGACCTAAGACATTGAAGATGGCAATACTCCAAAACACAAAGACACAACAATGTACCCAAGAATAATGGCTCATCAGGGATCAAACGGGCCTTGAAAGGTCATCTATACCAAACACCAAACAAACATGACTCCCTTCCTACACCTCTACTAAGTTGTGAGTGAAAAATAACCCCTGACCTGCCCCCAGGGCCATCCATCCATACCAGTGACCAAACAAACATGTGAGTCCCCTCTCCCCCACCCCTCCACCCAGCCCTGACCATGCTCATCCACTACAACTGCTGGTGGCTCTCTTCCAGAAAATTACTCTGCTTTCTAACCAGAATTCTGACCTCCTAGGTCCTACCCTTGAGGATACAGAAAATTCGGTCACTCTTCCTCCACATGACATCCTTTTAGATTCCTGAAAACATTTATCAGGCACACCTGAGCCTTCCCTTTACAGATAAGTATCCCTTTTCACTATTTTGCCTTATACATGACACATTTTCAGCCCTTTCACTATGGTGGTTGCTATCCCCTGAAGGCATACTCAGCATCATCCCAAGTGAAGGACTCACAGCACGAACAGAAGAAATCAGTCACCTCCCTTGATCTCTACCATGCTTCTAATAATGCAACCTTCTCTGGTGGCCACATCACAGAGTTAACACTTACCTGGCCAAAGTGGAGTATGGATAAAGACGATTCGCATACGTGGGGTGAAGGAACAATGACCCTTCATTTAAGTACCATCCAATTCTGCAGTTAATGGGTATGAGGATGAGGAGAGGGTAGTTGAAGTAAATGGCAGTGAATTCAGGAAATGAGAGAACACCTATCTGGAAGTGGCAGTAGAGAACAGTGTTCTCTCTTCCCCTGAGGGTGTTGTAATGAAAGTGATGTGGTCGTAGCAAAAAGACCAAATAGGCTGAAGAAAAATGTCAAAGACATGGGACAGTTTGCTCATACTAAAGCAGCACCTGAAAGGATACAAGCATGTCATAGAAAATGAGAGAAACGGCCAAAGTTGAGGTTTGTTTGGGGGTGGGGGTAGAAAGCTGATAAGTCATTATCAATAACCACAAGCTAACAGCATGTTTATATTCACCACTGCCAACAAGTTAGATACCTAATTAGTAGCATGGGGTCTTTTATAAAGCTAGAGAAAGACAGGATATAAAGGCAGAAATTAGAAAGGAAAGAACAACAACACTACTTTAGATACCTTGAAGCAGTCCGCTATTTTTCACCTCTGGTTCATTGACTTGAATTGTGTCATCTTCAAGGTAGAATAAGATTTTATAGCGTCTTATTCTATAGTTTTCTTGACGTTTATCAGGCACTTCATCTTCCACATACGCATCAAAAGACAATACCTGTTGGAATCATAATTAGAAACTAAGAAGTGAAAAAAAAATCAGCAAACTTAAAATCAATAAAGCTACTGCCTGTATATATTTTGTTACTGTAAAGAAAAAAGTTGAGATTTTTGCAAGAAGACATGCTACACATCAGCTATGAGAATGAATATTCAAACTATGTTTCAGTATATAAGGATTAGTTTATATTTTCATCACCGTCTGGTTAGAATGAGGTAATGATATTCGGGCAATAAATCCATCATTCAGCTCTACCATAAATTGAACTAGCATCTGTTTTTGGAATTTCACAGTGGGATTCTATATGTATGTTTATAGACAAAATAATACTCTTTCCCACAAGATGAATGTAAGTTTTATCATTTTTTCCCATTAAAAAGAACACAAAGCTACCTTGGTTCTAGGATACAGTTATCTTGACTTCTGGTCCTGCTGATTACTTGCCTTGAGGCAATTAATACAGACAGATCTGAAATTCAAGTGCACCAGAGACCCTACCTTAAACTTCAGGAACCTCAAAGAGTTCTGTTCAATGCCAGAGCCAGACTCATCTTATTTTGTGTTTGGGGGCTCGGGAGGGGGACGGGGCGCTCAGACAGAAGTAGTAGTTACTGAAGTAGTTACAGTAAAAATCAGAGATAGTCAAAAATACCCTTGAAAATTCCTTAACCACTTTGGAAAACTGTGCCTCTCAGTCAGTGTAACATAGTCCACTTTTCTCCCATGTTGAAGCAGAGGACTGATTGCCTCTTCAGTTGAAGATCAGTTGAAATAGCTTCCTTAGGCTTAGGTGCCATGTGGTTTGGAGAAAATAAAAATGTATCTTTAACCACTGGTATCACTCACAACATAGCATCATGCTCACACACTGAGAAAGACATGGTAATTGAGGACAACTGAGGGAACACTAGATTTAGGCTATCATTTCAAGCTTGACGTGGGGCATTGGCTCCCCAATTTTAATATTCCCTTTGCTTTCATTTTTGATCAACTTTTATAATTAAAGTTGCAAGATTTTATTGTGCACATGATGTAATACCAGGGTCATTCAACATGGACAATATGATACACATGAGTGAGTCTGCTAAATACAATCTACCCTGTAGGAGTGATTAGCTACCCTAACTAGGAATACATGCTCTGGGAGTGTTTAGCAAATTTCTATCAGAAACCCACACTTACGAAGAGGTTGACAAAATACCTCAGCAGTTTATCTCTATCAACACAAGAAGCTTTGTTAATTACCATAATGGTTGGCAGAACGGAATTTTAGTAAAATGATTGTATTCAAAATGAATGAATCAGTTACAAATGACCAGGTACTGTCTTTACCAGATCAGGTTCCAAGAATCTAGTAAGTCCAGAGACCTATACCCTTCAAATTGGCATGTTTGGCTTCATTCCAAAATGGTCCTATGTGCAGCTGCTCTCTTGGGGTATGCATCTGGCCTGATTCCAGTTAGAAGTTAGCAAAACCCACTACTAGAATGTTGTCATATTTGTGCTGACTGAACATTTCTGGTAAGATGCTGTTGAATGAATACAGGGTTTCCTTCTGGAGTGATGAAAATGTCTTGGAACTAGATTGAGGCAATGGTTGTATAACATTGTGAATATACTAGATGTCACTAAATTGCACACTTTAAAACAGCTAATGATTAATTTATGTTATGTAAATTTTACCTCGATTTTTAAAAAAGATATTAGACACCAAATTGTCTTGAAATGGTGGTAAATTTTATGTTATATGGGGCCGGCCGAGTGGCGCGATGGTTAAGAACTGGCTTGGGACACCAGAGGGCCCCGGTTCGGATCCCACATATGAGGGCCAGTGACACTGCCCTCTACAGCTAAGATGCTGAACAACAGCTCAACCTGGAGCTGGGCAGCCGTGAGTCGCTGGCGACGGTGTAGGCTGCAGCCCCTGTGGCAGTGGGTTGCCATGGGCTACCATATGTAGCCAGCAGCCAGCGTGAGCGGCCAGCAGCCACCGTGAGCGGCCGTCCAGAAGCCGGCAACTGATCTGCCTCGCCCGGGAAGAGCGCAATGATGGTGCCAACTTGCGCCAGTGAAGCAACGTCCTCCACAACTAGACTGAAGAACAAAAACGACAGCAACTTGTCTGTTCCCCTTCCCCCAACTCCCCAGCACTGTTCCCATCCCCCCAATTCCCCAATAAAAATCTTTAAAAAAAAATTTATGTTATATGGATTATATCTCAATAAGAAATAGTAGTGGGTAAAAAGAGGTTGCTGGAATACCTAAAAGGACAACAGAGCTAGGACTTTATCAAGCTTTCAGTAAAGGTGGTGAGGGAGAGCAGAATGTGCCACTTGGGCATGTGGATTATTTCAATCTGAAGACAATCAGGGCCCATCAGATGCAGGAAGAACATTCTACCACCCGCTTAGCTACCTAAAAGAACTTAGATAGGGGCCCTGTACCAGCAAGAGAGCTATTACCAGAGCAAACTTTTATATCAGAAAGACCTACCTGCATAGCATGGCAAATATTTGTTTACGTGTGAGTTGTCCTCCTCCCCTTTGAAGCCACAGGCCTCTACCCTCTTCTCTCTCTTTTTTTTAAAGATTTTATTGGGGAATTGGGGAAGGGGAACAGACAAGTTGCTGTCCTTTTGTTGTTCAGTCTAGTTGTGGAGGACGTCGCTTCACTGGCCCATGTTGGTATTATCATCGCACTCTTCCCGGGTGAGGCAGTCAGTCGCCGGCCATTGGACGGCTCACGGTGGCTCACGGCAACTCACGAAAGCTCACGCCTGCTGCCGGCCAACCCCACTGCAGCCTACACCGTCGCCAGCAACTCACAGCAGCCCAGCTCAAGTTCGAGCTGTTGTTCACCATCTTAGCTGTAGAGGGTGCAGCGTCACTGGCCCTCATGTGGGATCCGAACCAGGGCCCTGCTGCTCAGAGCTGGCATCCCAAGCCAACTCTTAACCAATGTGCCACTCGGCCGGCCCTCTACCCTCTTCTCTTTAGCTAGGGATGTCATATAAGCCTCAAATACCTAACTGCCAGGGAGTCTCATGTGTCTATGGGACTCCTATATGCACAAATTTTTTTTCTCATGTAACCTGTCTTTTTTTTTAAAGATTTTTATTAAAATACAGCTAACATACAAATATTATATTAGTTTCAGGCATACACCATAGTTATTCAACATTTATAAACCAAAAAAAAAGGTTAACCTTAAGTCCAGCAACCATCTGACACTGTACCACACCATCAGAATATTATTGACTATATTCCCATTGCTGGGCATTACATCCCCATGACGTATTTGTTTTATACTTGGTGATTTGAACCTCTTATTCCCCTTCACCTTTTTTCTCCACTTTTAAATTTTTTCAAGTACAGTTGACATTCAATATTATTTTATACTATATGGTGTATACCTGAAATTAATGTTAATCTTTCTTATGTCAATTTAATTATTAGACCAGCCAAAGAACCTAGAAAGGAAGAAGGGAAGTTTTCCACCCCTATAATAATATTCAATTTGAAAAAAATTTTCCTCTTTATAATCGGGTGGGAAAGTGTGGAGAGAATATTAATAGCTCTCACCTACCTCTATGTATTGAATGCTACTGGTATATATTTATGAAGGATCAATGTTTAGGTTTTATTAGATGAAAAAGACAAATTGTGAGACATTAATGAAGAAGAAGAAGAAGGTATATAATAAGAAGGATAAATGCATGCTATTATAGGTTAGTAAACAATAAAAATTTATATACATTTAATGTGGTAGTGTTTATTCTTCCCCAAAAAGCTTTTATTAAATCAATGGTTTCTCTTATGACTATGGAGGCTTAGAATTAAGGAAATAAACCATAATACATTTTGTATTGCATACAGAGGATGGCCCCTTTATATATGCCAATGGTATATTTACAGAAATTTAGCATATGTGAAGGGGAGCAGAATATGAAACCCCAAAATATGCCTCATTTGCATAGGGTTTATCTTGAGCTGATTTTTACAAAACAAAACACACAGGAGAAGCTCTGAAATCCAACTAGAAGTTACCCTTTTGTAAGAGGTATTTACATTTATAAGAAAAATCTCCATTTGTAAGAGTGTCTTCCTCTCTGTACCAGGAAGAGGAGGAAGACTAAATGTCTAGAAACATCAATGGAGAAGGCATGGATTTAAACTTTCACAACAACCATACTCTAGTTTACTGCGCTTTGACTGATAACCTCCCAGTAACTGGCCTCTCACCCCCACATCTTTTGTCTTTAGTAAATATGGTATTTAAGGTGATGGCATGGGCCATTTCTGGGAGTTACTCAGTTTTCCTGGGTATCTCCCAAATATATCTCCCATTGCTATTAAACTTCTATTTGTTTCTCTTCTGTTGATCTGTCCTTTTTACAGGGGGTAACTCAGCCAAGAGCCTAAAAGGGTAAAGGGAAAATTATTTTTCCTCCTCTACATAAGGTTAACTTACAAAAAATTCTAATAAATTTAAAATACATAAATTATGCAAGTTACAGTCATTGATCACAAAGTAATACAATTGGAAATGTGTCATGTAACTATAAACAAAAATTGTCACTCCTAATAATTGTGAATCCCAAGAAGAGATATTATCTGTCAAAATGGGACTCACTTGGTTAACTGCACCCAAGTTCATAACAAGTTTAGCAGCCACTGCTGACAGAAGCCCCTCACACATTCTGCATTTCGGGAAAAGCCACAGACTCAGATTTCAATGCCCTGTACTCTGCCCCAAGCCTGTTTACACCCCTAGTGAACCACCACCAAGAGGAAGTTCCTGGTTTCATCTTTTGACCAATGGACTGAGACCTGGCCCACCCAATCAGAACTACTTAAAACAGAACAAATTGGGAACTGGTGCAGGAACTTTTCCTATAAAAGACGGCCTCCCTTTGCCCTAGTGGAACACGATTTAGGTTACTATTTGAATCAATGTCTCCTAGGCTGCAGCTCTTTTTGCTCAAGTAAATGTTTTTATTCTTAATTAGTCTGAAATTGATTTTGGTATACCTAATTATTATGCTGAAAATAAATTAAGTACAACAAATATGTATAGAATTTAATAAAATTTAAAGATGTACAAACCTATAAGATATAGGTAAATCTGTGATTTTGGGTAACTTACTGGATTTAGATTATTACATTAGAGAATGTATGAGAACTAATTTAGTTAAATGTGTTAACTCAGCAATTCTCAGCCTTGGCTTTGAATTGGGAACTTAAAAAGAAAGACCAGAGCCAAGCCTAAATAAATTATATCAGAATCTTGAAGAGGTAAGAGTGGCATTAGTATTTTTTTTTAAATCCCCAAGTAATTCTGAAATGCAGTCAGAGGTTCGAACCAGTGAGCAACAGACTTAACAAAAAATTTAAAACAGATAAGATTAGAGCAAAGATGATCAAAAAAGAATATAAATAAATAAAATCAGAAATAAACCAGTGCAGACATAGAGATGTAATAAATTATAAGATATAAATTATCTTATGATAAATTATGTAAGCTTTTATGAAAATAAAATTTAAAACCAATTAAAGAAGTGATTTTCTGTAAGAACTGTGAACAATCAAAACACAATTCAGGGCTGGCTGAGTGGTTCAGTAGGTTAAGAGCACGAGCTCTGAGCAACAAGGTTGCCGGTTCGATTCCTACATGGGCCAGTGAGCTGTGCCCCAGCGGAGCTGCCGCTAAGCTGGTGAGAATGCGTGCTCTTAGCAGCAAGGTTGCCAGTTCAACACCCACATGGGACGGATGGCTGCACCCCCCCCTTTCCCCCGCCCCCCGCAACTAAGATTGAACACAGCAACTTTAGCTGAGCAGCCTTAAGCTGCTGATGGGCAACTAGATGTCTCAGTGTGCAACAAGGCTGCCGGTTTGACTCCCACATAAGATGGTGGACTACACCCCTCTTGCAACTAGACTGAAAGTGGCAACTGGACTTATAGCTGAGCTTGCGCCTTCCACAACTAAGATTGAAGGACAACAACTTGACTTGGAGCTGATGGGTCCTGGAAAAACACAATGTTCCCTTTCCCCAATTCCCCAATTAAAATCTTTTTCAAAACAAGCACAAATAATCAAGTAAGAAGTGAAAAAATTACCAAAAAATTGCCCCAACAAAGGCTCCAACCTAGATGATTGACTAATGGATTCTCTCAAACTTCCAAGGAAAAAAACATTACCACATTATACATATAACTCCCCCAGGATCCAAAAATGATGGAAAGCCACAAAGGTGAATTCTAATGCCTGATAGACATACCATAAAAAAGTAAACTATGGAGAAATAGTTCTCACTCTGGATTCACATTAGAATCACCTGTAGAGCTTTTTAAACTCCTGATGCTTCACACACACACACACACACACACACACACACACACACACACACACGGAACTCAATATATCAGGGTGGGCCTAAGCATCAGTGATTTTTAAAACTCCCCAGATGATTACAATGTGCAAGCCAAAGTTGAGAACTACTGCTCCAGAGCAATTTCATACTTATTATTTATAGAGCAAAGATCCTAACTAAAATAGAAGCAAAACAGAATTCAATAGTCAGTAACAGCTATAAGCCACCTACATTCACAAAAAGCAGCATTTTCCACAAAGATGTTTCCAAATTAAGAAATAAGGGCAAATATGTGATGATCTCATACTGTTTCCTACCACATACATTTTAAAATATAAAAGTAATTCCTTAACAAGATTAAAAAGAATTTGCTTTAAAATAGCCTAAATATCCAGCATTAAAATTAAACTCTGTGTCTACAACAACCAGGAACAGAACAAAAATGCCCCACCGACATCATTATTTAATATTGTTTTTAGGCGTTCTGGACAATATGAGAAGGTATGAAGTAAAAATATTAGAAAGAGACAAAAGTACCATTGTAGGCAGATAAAATAATGGCCTACGCAAAGGCTGTAAAACTAAGAAAAGATTTCAGCATAACCACAACCGAATCAAAAAAATATTTATGTACCAGCAATAACCAGCTGAAAATACAGTGGTAGGAAAAAGTATGTTCACAATAGAATAAAAAATTACAAAACACTTAGTTTTAATCAGAACTCTGTGACCCTGATAAAACTCTAAAAACATTTACTAGAAGATACAGAAGAACTTGACTAATAGGATAGGTGAGGTATATTCTGGACAAGCAGAATAAAATGCCGTATTTCAAGTGGATATTTCATTGGCGTGTTAGAGGGACTTAAAAAAATAATTCTAAGTCTACCTGATAAGATAAACATGCCAGCCTATTAAGGATAATTATGAAAATTAAGGGTAATATAGGAGACCTAACACTCCAAGATTTTATAGGTTACTATTATGGTTCAGTTGTTAAAGCAGTGCTACACCATAGTAACAAGAGACATACTAGTATGTGAAAAAGAATAGATGGTCTGGAAATAGACTCTATTACATATAGGAATTTAACACATGATGAAAGAAGAGTCACATATCAATAAGTGAAAATAGTACTAACTTGGAAAAGCATCAGTGTATATCCCCACCTAAATTATTGTTGCGGGATACTCGGACAGAAAGACGGGACACCAAGGCTCAGGGCAAGAAGCAACATTTGTTGATGCCGGCACCAGCTCAGCGGATTCACATCCAGAGACTGAGCCCCGATCCGGACAGGACTCGGAGTTATATACCCTGAGGTTTCCGGGTTAGCAGCCAAGATTCCTTATTAGGACATGTGGCATTGTGTTAGTTTCTGACTGCCTCCCAGGTGAGGTAAGAATTAGGAAATGTTAAAATCGGAAGTTTTGGTGGCCATGTGGTCCGGGAAAGCCTTTGTCTAGGGCTCCCTGCCACATTATAACCCAAGTTAAATACCAGACGGATTATTAACTTAACCCTCCGTCGGGTGCAACTTATCTCACAAATTGTTTTGAATTTCTGTTGATTTTTTTACTGAATTTATGTAATAAACATATGGTTTTTAATTTGTGGCAAATTAAAATTCCATTCTGAAAACATAATAAGCATGCTTACACATCATTTTCATTCACTTTAAATTTAAATAAATAAATGTCATACATGCATCTAGTAGATGCATTGTGCCCAAACTCGTAACTTGCAGTGTGCCCAACGGAGGGTTAAATATAAAACATCAACCCCTTTTACCCCTCCAAAAAACAATTATAAATGTGTCAAAGCCTTGAAATGAAGGATGACCATTCAAGGCCTAGGAGAGAAAGAAAATTATGAAAGGAAAAATTAAAATTTGACTACAAACACAAGTTATAATTTCAATAGACCAAAATGTAAATGAAAAACAACCTACTGTTAAAAAAGAAAAGAAACAACAAGCCCAAGGTGGAGTCACTTGACCAAGACAGCAAACCAAGAATTGCAGTTTCCGCCCTTCCCAGAAATGTAACCTGATCTGGAATGCTCTGATCAACACTAGCAAGGTAATCTGCCTAAGACCTCCTGCTGCCTTTTGCCTAAGGAAAGGTCACCTTGCCTGAACCAATCCTTTCTTTTCTTTTGCTAATAACTTTCTTGTCCTGTTCAGCTTCTGCCTATAAAAGCCTTCTATCTTGTGCAACTTCTCAGAGCACCACCTCTCCATTTACTAGGTGGGATGCTATCAGACTCATGACTTATTCAGTAAAGCTAATTAGTTCTTTAAATTTACTCGATTGAATTTTTGTTCATTAACAATAGTAATAAATTTTTGGAAAATGACAAAAGTTTAACTTATTTAAAATTTTTAAATTAACTTTTAAAAGACTCTAAAGAAAAAGAAATGAAAAAGAACTTAAAATTCAGGAGTGAATCAATAAATAAAAGTGCTCACTCTAAGAAATTATCAGTTAAGTGCAAATTAAAATAACAGTGAGGCACTGATTTTGTTTGTTTCTCCTATTAAATTAACCTGGTAGGATTATTCATCATGGATGGGATGTTAAATTACTTCTGGAGCAATGTGGCGCTATGAGGAGCCATTTTAAAATTCCTATACTTCTTCTCAGGAACTCCATTTCTGGGCATGTAGCCCAAAGAAACAAACCAAAATATGGAGAAACATATATGCAAAGATGTTCTTTGCAGCATTTTCTTTTATTAGAGAAAAAAACTACAGTGAGGGAACCTAAAGAGTTAACAAAAAGGGAAGTGTTTGGTGAATTATGGCACATCTACCTACTCCAGAATTTTGATGAAGGTACTAGAATGAGGTTTTTGAAAGCTATGCAGCAATATGAAAAATACTTAAGATATGCAGAAACGTTGAGTAAAAAAAAAAACCACAGGACTGAAAATGGTAACATATTACAATTATAAATGTTTTTGAAAGCATGTATATTTGAATTATGGTTTAAAAACTGTTAACTACATTTTTGGAAAAGAATGGGGGAGAGAAAAGGAACAAATAGCAAGCAACGCTGACAGCTCTGGAGGCCTGCCTGGGCTGCAGGATTGGGGCGGCCTAGGCTACAGAGGCAGGAGGCGGAAAGCAGGAGGGTGGGGAAGGTGGCTGGGGGAAGAGGCCGCTGAGTGGAGGGGTGGATTGACCTAAGGTGAAAGTGGAGGGGTCGCTGGTTAGGAGGAGTATGGCCGGTGGCCAGGACGGTTGGCTGCACCCTGCACCGTACCCCCTCCGCTCTGGTAGCCAGGACTGGTGGACAGGGTGAGCAGTGCCCTGTGCCCTCCCTGCTCCCTCCCGCCTCTGTTCCCCGCACCCCTCCTGCCTCTGTTCCCTGCACCCCTCCCACCTCTTCCCTGCACCCCTCCCGCTCCGCCCAGTACTGGTTCTGCCCTGCCCTCCTACGCACTCATGGAGCCCCTCCTACGCACTTGTGGAGGCCCGTACCTCTAGTCCAGAAGCCCAGCTTACGGGTACCCTGTGTGTGTGGTCTCCAAAGGACCTGCAGTCTTTTCGAGGGCTTTGATATTTGGAAAGGTTTTCCAAATGGGAGAGGTTTATAGTGCCCCGGAAGTGCCTTAATATCCCAGAAGTGCTTTCTCATACCGGAAGTGCTTTGTGTGGAAAAGTGCTTCGTCATATCGGAAGCACACCGAAGGCGCGGAAGGCTTGGACGCCGATCCGAGCTTTCGGTAGGTCTTGCATTTTTGCAACTTTTCCAAAGCGCTTTGGAAGCCTTTGGCAACTGTGGAACACTGAGAACTGTGATCGGCTGGTGAAAAAACCGGAACCGTCCGTAGCGGTCGGAGCGGCGCACAGTCCGGTACCACAGGAGCGGCACAAAGGTAGGATCCCCCAGCAAAGGCAAACACCTCTGGGATCCCAGTAACGTGGCCTCCTCCAGCTGGCCAGCTCATACCTCCACATTCCGTTCGGGAGAGGCCAGCAGCCCTGAGTGCGTGAAAGCCCAGTAGGAGGAGAGTACCTTTTGGCCTTTAAGTGGAGGTAATTCCTCCTCCTCCCATTCCTCAGGCCCAGGCTTGCGGGAGCGCTCTCTGGAGACTGCCTGATTCGAAGCACTCCGCGTTCTTTTCGTCCACGAAATCCCATCCGTGCCATCCCCTACACGTTCTATCAGCCCCTTTCTAGAAAAAAATGGGTTCTCTAGATGATGCCAGCAACTTGAGATTTAATTCCAAACACAGTTCCCATAATTCCACTAACCCTGAATTTGCAGCCAAAGCCGAGGGTCAAAATGGTAACACTGCGGAACCAAACACCGTCCAGAGAGGGAGGGGCAGACAGAGCGACCAAGGCTCTTCAGTGACCTATGGAATGCCTCTCCGGAGCATATTGATAAAATCAAAGCCAAAAGGAAAGGGAGAGGCTGCCACTAGTGCAAAATGGAGCACAAGAGAGCATGGACAAAAGCCAGCGAAGACCGTCACCTTCGCTAGTTCTGTCACTTTCTTAAGTCCTCAGAAACAGAAAGCTTCAGCCCCAGAGGTCAGAGCAGAGAAAGAAAAGATGAGTGACTTCCATGACAGGGTAGTGCTTGTAGATCCTCACAAGAAACCCAGTTTGAAGCCAATTGGTTACGAAAGAGCAGTCCGTTCTAAAAAAGGCTCTTCAGCCCTAAAATTTCTAGAGAAGCATGACGCTAATTCAGAAATCCAAAACCATAAAGAAAGGAGAGGGGTGATTAAGCACTCCTCTTCAGAAAGTTACCGGCCTAAGGTGGATGAGATTTCTGCAGCCAGAGTTTCTCAGGAGAAGCCAGGCTCACTGAGTCCCTCAGGAGTTTCAAAGCCTTCATCCTTCACCACTGAAGGTGTCATACATCAGCCTCCTTTGTACAGTGGTCCTTTGCATGGCTATGACAGCTACCAGACCAGCAGTCTCAAGCCTTCTCACAATCCCACCCTTGGTAGCAGCAGCAACAATACATTGCAGGCTGGGAAGAGCAGACGCAGATTCTTCAGTAATTATTCCTCCAATGCTACAATGCACTTCCAAAACTGGTCCAGAGACCTGAACGCATCAAAGGAAGGTCATTCCCAGAATTCTGGTTCATTTCATTTCCCCAGAAGTTCAGAAGCAAAGATGAAGGAGAAAAGAGCATTCCAAGAGGCAACGCCATCATGTCCTCGAGGAGGACATGCATCTAGTTCCCTGCCAAAGAGCCACTGGGAGCAAAGCCTAAAAGAGGGTTTCATTGACACTCATTGTCACTTAGACATGCTCTATTCCATGTTGTCTTTCAAAGGGACCTTTACCAAGTTCAGAAAAATTTACAGCCATTCCTTCCCTAAGGAATTTCAGGGCTGCATCACTGATTTCTGTGATCCTCGCACACTAAGGAATAGCCTATGGGAGAGTCTCTTGAAAGAGGATCTGGTTTGGGGAGCCTTTGGCTGTCACCCCCAGTTTGCAGATTTCTACAGTGAGTATCAAGAAAGAAATATTTTGCAAGCCTTACGGCACCCCAAGGCTATAGCGTTTGGAGAAATGGGTTTGGATTACTCTTACAAGTGCATTACACCCATCCCACAGCAGCACAAGATATTTAAGAGACAGCTGCAGCTGGCTGTGTCTCTAAAGAAGCCCTTAGTGATCCACTGCCAAGATGCTGACAAAGATCTGCTGGCCATCATGAAAAAATTTGTGCCCCCTGACTACAAGATCCATAGGCATTGCTTCACTAGCAGTTACCCAGTCATCGAGCCCCTTTTGAAGTACTTTCCCAACATGTCTGTGGGCTTCACAGCAGTCCTGACTTACACTTTTGCCTCCGAGGCCCGTGATGCTCTGAAAAAGATCCCATTGGAGAGAATTGTCGTGGAAACGGATGCTCCCTACTTCCTGCCTCATGGGGTTCCCAAAAGCCTTTGCCAGTATGCCCACCCAGGCATGGCCATGCACACAATTCAAGAGATTGCCAGAATCAAAGATCAGCCGCTCCACCACATCTTGGCCACCTTGCGTGGGAACACTAGTCGCCTCTACAGTATTTAATCAGAGAGGGCACAGTCAGGCGTACTCCAAAAAAAAAAGGAGACCAGGAGCCTGACAACACAGACTTGGTTTGAACTCTGCCTGTGTACCAGGTTAAAGATGTGCTCAGCAAGCCCATTGGCACAGAAAAAAACCCAGGACAAGATGCTTTCTTCAAAACCTCTTCATACGACTTCTGCTTCTGGCTGGTAGGATGGGGTGCAATGGGATGAGAGGAGAGAGATGGGGATCTTGATTTTATCAGGGTTTTTCCTCCCAGCCAGATTGTGCCAGCGTAGTCAATAAAGAAGAAAGAGTTCCTTAGGGTACAAAAAGTTTGCTAATCCAAATTCGTGTTCCTTGCAGTCTGTGTTTTTGAAGTGTTGGTGAATAAAGTCACCTTCCTACCTCTCTTTAAAAAAAAGAAAACAAGGAATGTTGAATTTTAATACTGTTAGGTGATTTATTCTGTCTATACCCTGAATGTATTTGTTATTATAGGAATTCTATAATCCATACGAGTTGTTAAATTCATAAATTCAGTGACTGTTCAACTTGCAATTTATTATTTCAACAGATATACTAACACTAGCATTTCCTCTGAAAGGAAACTGATTCAGATAAAAATTAGTCAGTTAATAGTCATGTGCCAAAGGGGGCTGTGGAGGGGCTTAGAGTGATGGGGGCCAAATTGGTTGAATCATAGAACACCATTGAGGAGATGAGTTTTGAATCTAAACTGAATTCCCAACAGTTGTATAATTCCAAAGCTCTTTAGATAACCCGTATATAATAGCACCTGTTTTCAAATTGCTCTTATTCTTAATAAGGCCCAAATGTATACCACTTAGAGATACTATTCTCCAGAAGGGCTTCAAAAACATCAACAAGACAGAAACAGAGAAGAGCTGCAGCTGCCCACTTGGCAAATAGCCAATGAAAATAGACCCAGAATATTCCAGACTTCTCTAGTTTCTTTTGTGCCCATTTATCTGGATCCAGAAAAATCAGCTAGCTCCTTGCCATTTGGTTCCCAGCTCAAATGTCCCCTCCACAGAGAAGCCCTCCCTGGTCACCAATCTATAGTGCTCACCTCAACAGTGAGGAAAACAATCCTTGACTTATTGTTTTGATTTAATCATAGCATTTAGCACTGTTTGAGATTATGTTAATTTTTTTGTGTTCATTAGTTATCTTCCGCACTAGGTTGTAAGTTTACAAGCTTGTCAGTCTCGTTCACACTGTCCATATATACATCTAATGTTACTATAGTGCCTTGAACAGAGCAGGTACTCCTCAGCAAAGATTTCTTGAATTAACATATGGATAAATAACAGACTTCATTAACACCTCAGAGTTAATGATAGTATTTGAGCCAGGGGACAGGTATTAGGAAGAGAAAAGAGAAATATACCATCATATTTCTAGCACCCCTCTTTAATTGAAAAGGCAAAGCAAGGATTAAAGGCCACGTATATTCTGCTGTTAGATGATATCCGAAATAAATAAGGTCAAGCCCTACCAGGAACTTGACAGTTCATTTTCTCTATAAATAACACTGAGTATACCACAGATTTTCCCCTGTTGAGAATTCAGTCTTTTGAGAAGAAAGTATAAGAATGCTGTAGCTGGAGTGCTTCACACAAAAGAAGCTGATGTAACGTCAAAGGTATGATTTGATCCTATTTTTCAAGACAGAAAACCTTCAAAAAGTAAGCCAATGTTTTGAATTAAGAAATGTTTTTTTCCATTTAATGTACACTTTCGATGGACATTGCACAAAGTGTGTCCCTCAACTCAGAGGAGCCCTGAACATTTTATAAAGGATTGCAAAAAAAAGGGTTCCATGGACACACATTTTGGGGAAATACTGAGTTTTACAGAGTTCCACAGATTTTTGTTTATTTCTGGATCTTGCATGTCCTTTGATATGTTCATGTGAGCCACAAACACTCAAGAGGGTGTTTCTTAAAGTTACTTCTAGATTAATTTGATTAATTTGAGGTACAATTCAATGAGCTCAAGTTCTTGGGTAACGTGAGTTTAGGAAATGCTACCTCAGTCACATTCTCACTGTTGCAATGCCCTTATCACATTTTGTACGTATCTCTCTACGTCCTCTTTCATTTACCTTTCTCACTACATAAGATCCATGGAGATCAAAATGTCATTTATCTGGTCCTAGCAAAGTGACATTACCAAGTGGGCATTTTAAGAATGGGTGTGAATAAACGGTTGCATTTATAAGTACACACTTAACAAGATAAAGAGGATACACACATAATTAATTTTCCTTTCTGAAAAAAAAGATCTTTTTATATAGAGAAAATACTTTCCTTACCTGCCTGTCTCCCTCTCATTTTTTATGGCAAATGCATAGAGTGTACTCTGCAGTGTTTCTAACATGCAGGAGAGAGCCTTGCCATAATTCAGTTTTATTTCTTCAAGAATGGGAGTAAGCAATGTAGTCTTTTCTGAGTGTAGTATATCTAGAGTGGCCTAAACCAAAAATCACAATCTTCCTTTACTTATTTCATGAATGAAATAAAGAACACTTCACCTATGCATGTTACTAGTAAAGCAACAACAACAACAACAACAAAAACTTGTAGTTCAGATGTGCAAAATTTGGAGCACTTTGTAAATAGTTTTCTATTTTGTAAACAGATATTCCATTGAACCTCAAAAAATGACTATTTAGCATTCCTATGGTTGTATGGCACTTGGTGTGTGTACTCTACCGTTTTGGTGACATCAGAAAGCCATGAAGGCAGCCGGTGATCTAGAAATTCAATTTGCCGTTAGTGGTCCCTGGGCCATCAGTCAGCCTGGAGTCACAGGGCCTCTCAGGCCCATTAACAGGCTCTCTGAACCTTGGCAGTCCTTTCACTGCACGTCAATATTTCCCTTCACTTAAATTTTAGAAAGGCAGCTATTTCTACCTTTAAAGCTAAAAAGGAACAAACTGCCCACTTTGTCTTGGGAGATGGGGGATTCTGTTTCTTTCTGTTGGTCTTTATTCATACCTGACTTCAAAATTAGTACCTGCTTATTGTAGAATTTTTGAGACTCCTAAAGAGCACAAAGTGCAAAAAAATAGCCCATAATCCTACTGCTTAGAGACAATCAATTTAACAATTGGAGTAGCTCTTTGGCAATTTCTCTAATATTATTGGCCAATTCCAGCATTGTTCTCTTTGAGTCAATTTTGCTAGCTAATATTTACTATAATATTCACTTCACTTCATAATTAGCATAAGCTGTACATTTTGCTGTCTCTCTCTGAATGTGATTTAAATACATTATTTTGTGTATTTTTGTTTGCTCTCCTGAGCAAATAAGCTAGAAGTTTAAGTCTATTGTTTGATTTAAAGAATCAACTTAGACTTCTTGTTCAAATCTATTGTTTACTGATTTATAAAATTCTGCTTTTATGTTTATGACTTTTTTCTTCAATTCTCAGATGTCCTTTTTTTGGTGTGTGTGTGCTTTTTCTAATACTTTAAGTTAAATGCTTACTTTAAATTTGGAGGGTAGAGAACAAAGCATTCAGTACCATAAATTGTCTGTAATTGTAACTCTGCTGTATCTATAGTAATTTTTATTTTCATGAAGTTTACTTTCCCACTATAAAAATTAATCCATATGCATTACAAAAAATATAAAACTAGGAACAGAAAGAAGTGCAAGGTATTTCTACTACCTAGAACCCACTCTTCTGTTAATGTTTTTCCCAATGCAATTGTGATTATATTGTGTTATTGGAAAAGTCATGACGTTTTTGTTTTTTTTTGGTTTTCGTTGCAAAAATGTGTCATGGCTTTTCTGACAACCCAATATAACTATGCCAAATTATACATAATTTTTAAAAATCATATGTTTTCACTCCCATACTAACTGAAGATTAACATACCACAAAAATCTCACCACCAATCTATATACAGTACTCATGTTCTGGTGTATTTTTACTACAGTCTTTTCAAAAAGCAATTAAAAACACAAAGTATATATGTTTGTTAAGCAGCGTTAAAGAAAGAACATTTACAGGTCCTAGAAAAAGGTGGTACAAAGATAAGCTTTGTTTCTCTTGATAGAGATTTTAACTCTATTCATTGTTATTTTTACTTTTTAAAGAATTGTCAGTTCAAGTATTCTAAAAATAATATATACTGAAACTCACTTAAATAGAGAAAAGTAATATATTTTTCCTTGTTATAGCCCTGTCTAGCATTTAGGACTCTTTATATTATTGTTTATTATTCTTGTATCTTCCAGTAAACTTTTAAAATGTTCATATTCTATTTTTAACTTTAATTGTACTTTATAATTACTTATAAGTTTGTTTCCATTGCTCATCACTAATCCTTTTATTTTCTGACTTCCCCATGGTTGAACTGTTTAATTTCCTCATAATCGGCTGGAGTATATATCTTCAAGCAACTTTTACAGGGAAGGTATGTGGATGGCATATTTATGAGAAATTACATATCTGAGAACATCTTTCTGCTGCTTTCATTGATGAATAACACCATTGCCGAGTCTAGAACTTCTGGGTCACAAACACTTTCCCTAAAAGTTGTAGACATTGCTTCATTGTCACCTGGCATTTAATATTTCAAAGAATCTGATGTCAAATTCTTTGGGGTTAAACTTCTTTTTCTGTCAGAATGCTTGGTGATTACTTTATCCTTGAAATTAACATAAAATTGCCAGGATATGGCTAATTATTGGTCTCTCTTTTGTTATTTTCTCTAGTACATAGTAAGCATTCCATCTGCAGTTCTGTCTTTTTATAGTCAAGAAAGTTGGTCTGTTTTTATTATTTTCTTATGGCATGCTTAGTTGACTCAGTTGCTTTTAATCTAGCTTCAAATTCTTCGGGAATAATTGTTATTAGAACTCCATCCTCTGTCCAACCTTTAAGTATCTATCTCACTGCTCTTATCTGACCTTTGCTAAGATATGTCTGGGAAAACAGGAATGAGCCTAGGGAGCAGTCATTTGGCTCCAGTTTAGGCTTA